AAAAAATGAGACAGACTCACCTGGCTGCACAGAGACACTTGGAAAATATTTCCATCACTTCCTCCACAGAACACGAAGTACTCAGCAGGGTCAAAGGTCACAGACATGATCTCCACATCAAAGAGGATCGAGAGGAGTAGCTCGCCTGAGGACAGCTCCCATACCTAGACAATTAGCAGAAACAAACACCTCTAAGACTGTGATGACTGATATTTTACTGTGCTGAGCTCTGATTGGTACGATTTAACCCATTACTACATGAACTGCAGACACAGACACAGTTTCAAGACACTAACTTGTTTAAAGAAACTAAACGAAGTAAGCTTCCTCCTCAATACCACGCTAACTCCTGTTCTTGATTATGGTGAGATGAAGATCATCAGCTGTCCGCTTTACCTGGGTCACAGCTGTCTGGATCGCTGAGTGACATCAGCAGAAGTGCACAAACTCACCTTCACTGTCTGGTCTAAGGAAGCGGTAGCGACTCGAGCCTGAGCTCCCATCAGGCCGCAGTGCAGGTCTGTGATTGGCAGAGAGTGACGAGACATGATGTGGCGAGGCTCAGGGGCGTGGCTTACATCCAGTTGGACAACACTGAAACACGGTGAACAGAGTAAGTGAGTCAGAGATCCGTCTGGCACATCTCAGAGTCACAGGTGACGCGCCGACCTTACCAGGCAAGTCTGAATTTTATAAAACACACACACAGCTAAAGCTGCACCTGCTGGACACTGCGCCTCTCTCCTGGCTGACTTCCCATTTGTCTTCTTGTCATGAAACACCTTACTCCTGATTAAAAGCTCCAGAATGCTCCAGATGTGTTTTCAGGTATGTCTCACCTTGACAGACTCCACACCAGAGCCAGGTTGTCTTTTCCACCAGAAACAAAATGGCTGCTGTCATCAGTGAACTTCAGACAGGTGACGTCCTGATAGTGACGACTGAGGACAGACTGCAGTTTACCTGTGCACACCTGGTCAGTGAGAAAACAAAGTAAACAAACCTGAACAAAGAGACAAAAAAAACCCAAAAAGACAAAAACATAAAAGGAAGAACTGTCTCTCTAAGCTCTTCCTGAACTGTTTGAATCCTCGTTCCAATCAGCTCCTTCCGCCTCTGATCACCTCCATATGTCTGCTGGAGTTTTATTCTAACATTGAACCTGCAGGAGGTCCAGATGTTCTCATGAAGCAGTTTTAGTGAGCTAGTCTTAGCGCAGCACGAGCTGATCTCCAATCCTGTGTTCACATTTCACTTTCCAAATCCTCCTCCGTGCATTCAGCTTCTACTGTGACCTCTGTGATGAACAGGATGGAAACAGCTGAGGAGCTCTGAGATGGTGATGCTCTTTCTTAAACTCCTCTGTCAGCATCATCTAAGCAGCTTTTTGTGGTGTCAGTAAGTCAATAATGAGCTTTTATGTTAAACACCTGGAGATGCTTAAAGACGTGTTTTTTGTTCAGATTAACTTTATCTGTTAGTTCTTCAGAGAACACAAGAATATGAGAATCTTTTCTCCACACGAATGTGGTTAGTTGAGCTTCTTATTCTTGTGTGGGTTCTCTCCTGGTTCTCAGAGTTTCTTCCCCAGTCCAAGTCCTGACTGAGCCTGAGTGCTGATCCGTCTCTATCTTAACCCTGTGATAAACTGGAGACCTGTTAAGGTGTACCTGGTGTCACCTATAGCTCAGATAATCTCCTCCCCCAGCAAGACTAAATTAAATCAGAGTGAAACAGATGGATGGATGTATTCTAAACTTTCTGTTTGGTCAATATTTTCTTTTTGGTAACAACTCTTCCTGTAATATTGGAAAGTCTGTTTTTTTTTTGTTTTGGTTTTTTTAAATGGTGCCACATTTGTAGAGAAAAGGCATTCATGGGTTGAGCAACAGAGTTCAGTTATGTGGGCTGTACCCATGACAAACCAAATCTTCTCTGCCAATGCTAAACAGCTGCTATTGACTCTCTTTTGTGTAACATATATTGGATCGGATGATTGAAGTCTGAA